TTGACTTTCCTAAATAAATAAAGGTTAAAGCTAAAAAATTTACATTTCCCACTAAACTGAAGCTCATTCACATCAGAAGTCAAGGATTGTGCAGAGCACTTAAGGTTGAGAAAGAAGTAGGCAACACAAAGACCAAATAACAAACTCACAATTACCATTCACAATAACTAGTGGGAGTAAAGAGGCAATAAGGCAGGTGCAAGTGTGTCTGCAGCCTCCGGTTCAGTAGGTTGGCATGTGAGGACAGACAAGAAAGGGATTCAGTGCAATGAACTCGCATTTGTGTGTATGTGTGTGTGCTCAGTAAGTTGGTCCATTGAAATGGGGATAAGCAGCCGGTGACCTGCTTTATTACTCATTAACCCACAGAGTCTCCACAAACAGCTCTGGACAAACATGACATCAACCCCAAAACTCCAGCGTTGCAGCGTTAAACTCCATCTTAAAGGCAGCAGAAATATACTTCTACCTACTATTACTGACATACAACTTAAAAAACATAGTAATATAAACAAGCAGCAGATATCAAAATATCTATTGACATAAATATATAATTTGAAGTTGTAAAAAATTGCCACCACCTGCATCCCATACATAAATCTAGGTTTATATGAACATTTATTTTAACTCTGTTTAATGTTTCCCTAGATTTCAAAATCGTTGACTCAGAGAAGGTTTTGGAGATGATTCCTCTCTTCTCTATCTACAGTAGCAATGTTTTGTATTTTAATACTCTGAGCAGCGCAAACACAGTTCTACTTACCGGCATTATATAAGTGTTTTTTGTGATTTTAGTAAACCTGTTGCACATTTTCCCATTATCTGTAAAAAAAAAAAAAAAAAATAGGCGGTCCTTTTGTTGCTTTTGACCAACACACAAAACAGAGCACTGACAAAATGTGGTTAAGTACTGTTTTCCACCAGAAGAGTGGAAAAATATCTTTATGATTTAGTTGTTCCAGTGGAAAGGTTAAACTGCTTGTCAACCACAAGAACTCATCCCTGAGTTGTACAGAGCGAGAATATGGATCTGCTCCTAACAGCTAACAACCCCCACCACACTACCCACTCATTTCCACAACTCAGCTCGCCTCTATCCCCTGCCCTCTTCCTCTCTCTAGACTTTTTCTATTTTTTTCTCTTCTTGTAGCATCTGTCACTCATTCTCTCATATATTCATTCTTCTTTTTCTCTTTCAGACTCACAACTCTGTCCTTCATCCGTCTCTCTCTGCTGCTATCGACACACACACACACACACACAGACTCATGACAAATGACACAAACTCATTCATGAAAATGTTGCGGCACTCAGTCAAGGCTTAACCACTGGATTATGGGATTAGAGAGTGGGACAGATCTAGAGCGTATACACATGAATTAGACACACACTCATACAGGTCGGTGTGCATGTGAGTTGTTCTCTGTGGTATTTTGGTGTTTAATTGTCCTGCGTTATGGATTTTATTTGTCCATCATTTCCATTATAAAATACCAGCAATGCATTATTATTGACCACTATTTATTACATCTATATACACACATATACATAAAATACTACAATTACATTACACACAATGCATTTAGAGCTTATTTAAAAGGCTAGTTTGACATTTTGAGAAATACTCCTATTCGCCTGGCACTGTCAAAACATGAATCTGCCTACCAGCATCTCTGAAACTGACTAATTGACATGTTGAATTTTGTTTGTTTAAAACTAACAAAATCCGAGTCAGTGCACCCAGAAGAGAAATAGTCCACCCCATGAACCCCTGTAAAACCATTTGTCATAGGAGATATATTGTAATTTTGTCTGTCTGTCTGTGCACTTGACTTGGTGTTTGCTGTCACTTCGTTATTTTTTCTGTTGCTTGCTTGCATGATGCTTGTGTGTTGCATGTTTTTAATTATTGCATTAAAATTTCCTTTTTATTATTAACATCTATCTCTGGCTAACTTCATCGCATCTACAGAAATGTTTTACTGTAATATGCACTGTGTCTGTAAATGAAAAATAAAAATTGACAACATTATAGAGAGTGGATGAAAGAAGTCAACAAAGGAGACAGAGTGATAGACTAGAGAAAAGAAAATGGAGTAAAAAAGGACGAGAGATATACAAAATATCGTCTCTCGTTCACTGTATTGACGGATGACGGCGTGCAGGCGGGGGATGTGAGGGGATGAATGGATGGACAGGGGAGAGTAGAGGGAGGGAGTGAGGGATGACATCAGTGCAGAATCTGTTTCCGGCCAATCCCCTCGCCTGCTGTCTCCGCCCTCCTACACCTCTCCCTTGTTGCCACGGCAGCAGCACCATCCCGTCTGTGCGAGGCTTTGTTTAGGGTTGGTAGTAATACGGCGTGGTGTGTATGTGTGTGTGTATGTTAATATAGCACACTAGAGGCTGCAATCCAGAACAAGTAATCACCTCTTTTTTCATACTCAATCATCTATCCTTCATCGTCCCTCCTCCGTCTTCCTCTTTGTCATCTTTCTCCACTTCATCCCTGGTGTGCCTGACGCCATCTTCCATCTTCCGTCTCACCCCCTTTCACCTCTCTGTCTTAACGTTCAAGGTCCTTTCTTTCAAGGTGTATTTTTTGCTGCAGTGCCTCTTTCAACTATTTACACTTCATGTTCAAACACTGCACACAGAATATATATGCACACGTGGCTCAAAGAGTCCAGATTCTGATTTTTCTGCACTTTTTTCTTGCATGATTTGGAAAACATGGGTATATTGTATAAAACCTGATACAGAGGCATGTGAAGCTACAGACAAATGAAAAAAAAAAGGGCAGATGATTCCTCACAGGGCAAGAGGGGTCACTGAATTTAATGGTCGACAAGTTAGACAGCGTTCTCCACCATCATTATTAAAACACTGGATAAAGGAATATTTTTTGGAAGAATGGTGTTCATCCCTCCAGTAGAGTTCCAGAAATCTGGAGTATCAAGGCGCATTGAAGTTGCTCTGGTGTAGTTAAACGCCTTACTATGTTGGTTTGTCCTTTATCAAATTTTTTATGTCAGCAGTATTCTTCATAATGTAAATTTGGTTAAAGGGACACTCCACCAATTTTAATCATGAAGATCAGTAACTGGTTGCATAAAACCACTTAGGGTAAGGTTGCCTTTGAGTTTTATTAGAAGGATGCTTAAGAAAAATATGAGTTGCATCACCACCCTTGCCTTACAACCATGAGCTGCCACATTTCCTCTTTTGCGGTTTAGCTTTTGCTTACTGTTGAGTCCCGACTGTTTCATTTTCTTTACCATGCCAGATACAAAACCTAACATACATACAACACTAAGAATTTCCCATAAGTCCCTGATGCGGTTCGTCTGCTTACAAGTGCCATTTCAACATTGCCGTCAGGTCATACTTCTTGTATTACACGAGTTACATCTTGGAATATTCATTAAAAATAAAGCAGGCCTGAGAACATAAACCTAACAAACACAGATATGCTCGTGTATTGCCTTGCCATAAGCTTGTTTACCCACATGAACCCATTCATAATAAATCAATCTGAGAATGATACAGCATTAAAATGATCAGGTTTTTTTTATGCAGTCTGTTTATCTGTCTCTCTCTTTCAGCTGGAGTGTCTGCCTATTTTGCAGCCAGCCTGTTTGTGTTAGGGTGTCTGAGTTTTCCTGCTCTCAATTGCTGCTGTGCTGCTCGCTTTCCTCTCGTAACCATGGAAATGAGATCAACATGCAAATACCTGAGCACGCTCACTAAGGCTGTGTGATAGAAGATGCAAATTGCGTTTCCGCTTGTAGGATTACACACGCAGATGCACACTCAGACGTATATACACACGCACACACAAACGTTTGTCTGCTCACATACGTAAGCACACCCACCTGCAGTCCAGCACATTTCTCAGCACAGTGCAACACAACCAGACTTCAATTATCATATAGATGAAGTGTTTGTACTGAACCTTGAATTAAAATTAGCTCAAATACTGTTGAGTTTTAGTGATTTTCATTAAAAGGCTAATATTTTAAGAAAACATGAACAATTCCGAACAAGAATTACATTTTTGGCATTTAATTGAAATGACAAGTAAAATGTAGAAGTGATAAGACACTGCTGCTGTCTTATAAAGTTGCTAAAATGTTAATTTTAAATTAATGTTAAACAGCTAAACAGCTGCTTCCTTTTGTAGTCCAGTGGGAATAAATCATTTGCATTCATTTCCAGTTATATCTCTGGGCATATGTCAAATGTAAGTCTAATATTCACTACGCTTTTAGCTCTTGAGAAAAACATCTAGCACTGTAGCTGTTATGACTGTCCTCTAAGTTATTTTCACTATTCTTGTCTGTGTGCCTTTTGGTGCTGGGCAGGCAGCATACAGTTGGGTTACTACGCTGGAAATGGTTAAGAGTTTAATGAGAGAGGTGAAAGTGAATATACAGTGTATTTCTGGCTTCAAACCAACCAAAACAAACAAAGAGTTGTGTTTTGATTCTCAGTGATAGCCTACAAGCTTTCCACATTACATGCTCACGTAATTCACTGTATTATTATTTAGTAAAGCAGGTTTAAAGACTTAAGTAAAGGCCAATTAGAAATTAGACATTTGGAGCATCTCTTGTTCCTCCACAAACAAATGTTCTGAAATATTTAACACACTTGAATTCACTTCAGCTGTTTGTTTTTGGGTTTCTGTTTTTAAGACTGCTCATTTAAAATCCCTTTAAACAATTACTTCACCATTAGAAACTATCATCCAAATGTGGTGGAGAGCTGGGTGAGGGCATGGTGAGTGCCAAACTCGTAATCTCCATCCCCATCGCCTCTCCTTTCATTGATGTCTGTCTTCTGTTTTTTTTTTATGAATGAACGGCAGAGGAGGGAAAGGGGACGGGAAACTGGACGCTTTGTGATAGGCTGCCATCGGTTGACGTCACCTCCGCCGTGACGCGATGCACCCATTCATAAAAATAAAAAAAAAAGAGAAACAACCCAGAGGAGAAACACTCGGGGAGAGAGAGAGAGAGAGAGAGGGAGAAAGAAAGAGGTGACCGGACTGAGCGTGAAGAGTAGTGCGGTTACAATGCGCGTTTAGAGAGGCGCAAACGGAATACACCGCAGGATCCGCTGGTTTGGAGAGCGGTGGGGGCGCAAAGAGACGCAGAGAGAGAGAGAGAGAGAGGAGAGAGGAGATAACGCCACAGTGAAGCCTACACACTCATTCTCAAACTAGGTGCTATGGAGGACCTGGGCGAGATGGACTGCCCGGTGCTGAAGCGGTTCCTGAAGGAGGACAGCGCCAAGTGCCTGCTGCTGGACTGCCGCTCCTTCCTCGCCTTCAGCGCGGGACACATCCGCGGCGCCGTCAACGCCCGCTGTAACACTATCGTCCGCCGCAGGGCCAAGGGCTCCGCGCTCAGCCTGGACCAGATACTGGCCGGGGACGAGGAGGTCCGGGGCCGTCTCCGCTCCGGGATGTACTCCGCCGCGGTGCTGTACGATGAGAGGACGCCGGACTCGGAGACGGTGAAGGAGGACAGCACTCTGACTCTGGTGCTCAACGCGCTGTGCAGGGACTCCTCCGGCACACACATATACCTGCTCAAAGGTAAATATGAACTCCATTATCACACCGTGGAAGCTTTTCATTCTGTGTTACTGATGAATGGAAGCTTATTTTTTTGATTCAGCCTTAATATAGGACGGTTGATGCTGCATTATAATGATAGAAATAGCAAGTTGCCATGATACTGCTCCATATTTAATGTTGATTTCATTGTTAAATTAAGCCTTTAAATGGGACTTCTTGAATATTCTTCTTTAACGAGACATTGTAGTAGTAAAATAATAAAAATAAAAATAAATAAAAATAGTAGTACAATAACTTGGAAAATTATAGTATTTTAGTTCATATTGACACTTTAAATATGACAATCAGAGCCAATAATAATTATAATCATAATCATAATAGCTCCAAATTTCATGAATAGCCTAGTTTTGGTAGATATGCCACCAGCCTATCTGGGGCATTGGCTATTTTATTTTTCAACCCACATAATCAATATTATGTTGCTGCCTCTGTGAACTGAATATTGTTTTTGTAGCTTTCATTAGCCAATAAACCAGAGATCCGGCTCTATTTTTATGCAGTGGTGTAATTTTTATTTTTTTACAATACACACACTCACTCAGTCACTCACAGCTACACACATTTACACACAGACCAATGGCCGTCGGCAGAGTGAATGAGGTAATGCTGATGCGTAGAAGCCACATCAAACCGGAGGGACTTACAGGACACACAAGATCCTTTCAGAAACAATCTGCTTCGGGTAAATCAGCGACGGGAGGCTGTAAAATCTAAAATCAACACTCTATTTACCCACCAGACTATATTTAGACTGCAGGAAATCTGAAAACCAAAGCTGCTGCAAGCTGCAAGCTGTGGCGCATTCTTTTTTTGTGCATCCTAATGACGTAGACGCCTTAAAGCACAGGAGTGTGAATGTATGTAGGTTATAAAGATGGCATTTCACCAGTTAATCTGATTTGATCCCTGAGGTGCAGGAGGCAATGGTCAGGCTTCAGATGTATAAAAAAAGCAAAGGGATGATGAAATTGTTTCCAAATCCACGGCAGTAGACACAGGACAGAGTAGGTCAGGGGTCGGTTTAATAGACTTTGTGTCAGACTCACTGAATGGAGAGGAGTAATCAGATTGTGCTGGGATGTTAATGTGGTTAAAATGCTTCTTTTGTCCTTAAGTCCGCTTCTGTAGTGTTTTATGCATTTAAACACACACACAATAAATCTGTCACTGTAATGATCCTGGAGGAGCTTTAAGTCTCCAGGAACATATAGTCTATTCGATGCACCATATTTGACCATGATGTCTCTTTTACAGGTGGCTACGACAGGTTTTTCTCAGAGTACCCCGAGTATTGTCTAAAGACCAAATCCTTACCGCCCCTCATCAGCCAGTCCAGCAGCGACTCTGCATGCTCGTCTTGTGGGACACCTCACCATGATCAGGTAAAACACACAACAGGAGACAGACAAACCCTGTCTCAATCCTCCCCCACATTTTCAGCCTGCTAAGCACGCCTTCAATAACATAGTTAACATTCACAAATGTAGGTGATGATGTAGGTCATGTGTAAGCTGCTACTGAGTGTGTGCAGCTAATTGTTAAGGCTGCAACTAATGTTTTTTTTTTTTTACTCATAAATGTGAAACAATCACAAATCACTGAATTAAAATGTGTAAACAAGAGATTAAAACTCTTAATGCGTTATGGAAATTGGTATTTGTCAGTGTCACGTCAGATAAATTGATTGATCCTGTAAAAGTCAACTTCAGTTTCACCCACGTACACAGAGAGCTGCCATGTGCAAACACTGGAAGTTATTTGCTGTGCAACTCAACTGTCAGCTGTCTCCCTTTCCCGCATTCATTTCACCACATTTTCCCAGCCAGTGAAAGTATACTTTAAAACACGTTTTTTCGGTCTAAAGGTCATGCTAAAAAAAAAAAAAGATGGGAAAATTTTTGTTTTTTTGTTTGAATTAGTTATTTGTCTTATGATATGGCTGCACTGGAAGTCAAAGTTCACCTTTGGGTGGCCTCGTTGTGTTGGTCCGTGATCTGCTGCAGATTTTATGCAATGTTCACAGTCACATGTGGTGTGTATTAATTCCCTGGAACGCAGAGAGAGACACAGTACAATCCAGCCTCTGTATGTTTTCTAAGAAAAATGCTTGATAGTCCAGGCGTCACTGTCATGTTGAGTTTTTATTCCAGGAATACTGTAGCTTCCTCTTTCAGCATAGAGATGATGGATTGGGTAGAAGAGCTAGTTGAGTATCTCACTCGATTTTTTTTCCTCTCACCCTCCGCCCCCCTTCTCACATTACATCTCTTAGCAGTATTGATCATTTCCTGACGCTGTGTCAGTACTGAGGTCGTCAGCGGCAGTGACATAAACAGACAGAGCCCTCGTCAATAAGTCTCACTACCGGTATAGACCGCCAAACAGCTGACCCCTCGGATCAAGTGAAAGGGAAAACAATACTTGCACTCTTACATTAGGATATGCTTTGACATGTGAACAGTTTGGCCAAAAATTGGATTGGTGTATGTGAACGTCTAGATATATATTCTTTTTTATGTAGTACAGGCTAGAATATTTTATAAGTGTGTAATGTGTGCTGTGAAAATATTTCCTCTGTAGAATATGCTGTAAATCAGACTTGCACAAATACTAGTGGAACACAAGCCAATATTTTTGTTTGTTTTGAGGTTTGTTTGTTTTTTTACTATGAAAGCTTTATGTTTTTCATTGTGAAGGGTGACAGCAGTGTTGGTGGTGGTTGGGCAAATTCTTTAATGCCAACAACTAAAATTTTTAAATAAAAAAAAAAACAGAAAGGACAAACACACACATACTTTCTTTTTCCAGGAAATGAAACAAACCTTCATGTTTTCACTCAGTGCTATGTTAACAAGTGCGTAACTGACTGACAGTTTGTAGTGTACATTCAGTATGCAGTAGCACATTTGAGTTTTGCTTACACTGTAGCAGCATGTGTTATTTCTGAAGAAATGTTGCTGTGAAGGCTATTTTTCTCAGAACTGTTTTTTCATTGACAAAGTGCGATCACAGAAAGATGTCTTCAACAAAGCGTGAGAGAATGGTGAATGTAGAGCACCAAGATACTGATTAATCAAAGTTATGCTAATATTTCCCCTGAATTCTAAGGTGCGAGCATGTGTAAACCATAGTCAATTTATCATTCACGCAGCTCCCATATGTTTCTGTATGGGGAAATAACTTGGCATGAAAAGAACTAAATGGTCAATATTGAATGACCTTGCATTAATCACACAGATAATAAGCTACCCCTGTCTGATGATAAGCATGGCTAATGTGATTAACAAAATATTTAAGCGAGGTCACGCTTATACTGAAGTCATCTGGCCTCCGCTGCTCACTGAGACAGTGAATTCTTTGTCTTATCACGTAAGCTGTTCATTAAAGTAAATTAATATCCAACATGTCTGTACAAGTTAGGTTGGGTCAAGAGATGTTTCTTTATGCAACGACTCAATGGACTGACCGAATGAATGAATGAATGAATTATGAACAATCTGCCTCTTCACTGCTGATTTGTAAAGAAATAATAAATGAAACATCATCCTCCCATCTGTCTTTCGTCCAGGGCGGCCCAGTTGAGATCCTCCCGTTCCTGTACCTTGGCAGTGCCCTCCACGCCTCAAAGAAAGAGGTTTTGGACGGCATAGGAATCTCCGCCTTGCTGAACGTGTCCGCCGACTGTCCCAACCACTTCGAGGGGGCGTACCAGTACAAGTGTATTCCCGTGGAGGACAACCATAAAGAAGACATCAGCTGCTGGTTCCTGGAGGCTATTGAGTTCATAGGTCAGTGAATAAGTGTGTGACGTGTGTGTGTGTGTGTGTGTGTGGTATTTAAGCAGAACAAATGCATTCCCATGGTGGATAACCACAAATAAAATGAGCTTCCTTCAGGCTACAACATGCTTGTGCTTTATGTCTTATATAAAAAGAGCCTTTTTTAGGTCAGCATCATCATTTTTAGGTCATATGGTAAAGTTTGTTTTTTAATTTTGGTGGAATGTGTCTGTGCAAGCTGCTGCAGTGTCTGCTAGTACATGTCAAAGGCATTTATAAGATTACTGACAATACATATCCAGGGCTGCAACTACCAAATATTTTCACTATCTTTGTCCTCTCGATAAATCGTTTGTGCATAAAACAATGCCCATCACACGTTCTTAGAGCCCAAGGTGATAATATCACGTCTTGTTTTGTCTAACCAAAAGTCTAAAACCCCAAAATATTATATTTACTATAATGTAAAACAAGGAAAGCAGAGAATTCTAACATTTGAGAAGCCGGAAACCATTTAATATTTGTCATTTTTGCTTGTAAATTTACTCAATTGGTTATTCAAAATAGATGAAATTCCTTTGGATCAACTAATCGTTGCAGGTCTAGACATATTTATTATTAAATCTAATGTTTTAATTAATATCTTTGTCATTGCTGAGATATTTATTCCTTTGCACTCAGTGTTGATGCAGTTTCAGCAATGGTGGCTCGTGCTAACTAAACAGCCTTCTTCTCCAATCTGTAAATGCAAAGTCCGTCACTTTGTGTCTGGAGTCTGAGAATTTCTCCCAGAGAACTGCAGTGGAAAAGCTTTCATGTACTGAATACACTGTGCATACAGAGCAGGCAGATGATGACAAATCAGACATTTATTCTTTGGAATCTGTTGCAAATTATTATTTTCAAGTAGCTCTTGATCACACACATTCCAGCACATTTTATTTTTTATTTTTTTTGCAGAGGCAAAAAGAAAGAAAATACCTACCAAAATCAAATCAAATGAATCCATTGCAGAACAAACCAATGTAATTCAATCAAGGAAAATAGAGAGGATAGCATTTGGAATGAGAAAATGTTGTAATCAATAATTTCTCTGCAGCATGATCTGCGTTTGTGTTTATAATACAGGCGTGTGTGTGAATTGCTTTCGCATATGCTTGCTGCGTGTAGACATTGTGTGCGTGTGGTTTCCGTGCTCTGAGTGTATGTTTGTGAGTCCGATGTGTGTGTGTGTGTGTGTGTGTGTGTGTGTGTGTGTGTGTAGGTGCTGGTATGCGTCATAGTTAGCTGCTGTGGGACCAGAGTCTGACTCATCCACTGTTACCGGGTGAACAGACGCTGTGGCGGAGTTACCTGAAAAATCTGTCTGTTTGTGTGTGAAAGAGAAAGAGAGTTTGAGAGAGGAAAAATGTTGACATCTGAAAAGCCGAGCAAGACACAAAGAATGAGAAATGGGGGGATGGTGGTTGTTAGCGATCGCGCATCTGTGCATGTAGAGCAATGGCGGCAAATATTTCAGAAAGGTCATCAAGTGAGCTGGATTCAAAGCAAGTGGTTCTATATACAAACAGGAGCTTGACCAGCAGTGGTGGGAAATTAGATTAAATTAATAAACATGAAAAAACAATAAATGAAGTCCCTCAATTATCTTCTGTGTTTACAATTTCCTGCAGGCCACCACACATGCTCTAGGACATTAACATGACGGTCCAACTAATCATTTAAACGTTGTTGGGGAAATTGAGTTACTGTAAATGCTTTAATCAAACTATTACCGGTTATTCACAGTAACGAAGTAACAGCATGCATCTTAACATACTGAAAGAGGCAGAGACATAAATAGGACAGGGGAGGAAGTGTGAAAGAGGCTGATGACTCGAATTTTTTGCACTTGCGTGTTTCAGTTCAATGTGATTTGCTGCTTTCTCACTTTGAGGTTAGTTACCGGTTTGACTGTGCTGAGAGGGGAAGGCATGAAGATGTAGAGGAGAGGAAATGAAAAGAGCTTGAGGCAAAGCGTCACTGTACATCTGTTGTGTTTAAAATATGTGGTGGCAGTAAAAAAAAAAAGATTTAGGGCGAGTTTGTTGGGTGATGAAAGAGATAAACGTGAGCTTCAGTGCGGCATTCATTTTGTTCTGTTCTGGCTTTGCAAGCATGAGGAACTGCTGGAGATTAGCCATCAGCTAGATTTACATTTTGAAGTTCAAAGGGCTTTTTTTACCTTTAAAAAAAAGTAACTGAGTGGCAGGATGAAAAGCTCATCCTCAAATAAACTGCTACAAACATTCTTGGAGCCTTTTGCTTAGAGATAAAATAAACAAGAAAACATTCATACAGCTCACTTTCATTCTCCATGAAGGAAATTGCTGCAAACCACAATGAAAAAAGAACTTCCTGTGGGGTGACATGAACGTCGCTACTAAATTCTATGGCAACCCAACCAACAAATGTTGAGCCATTGGTGGATCCGTACCTAATCCATTCAAAAGTGATATGTCTGGAGATGTCTGTAGAAGCCTGTAGAAAGTGAATCATATTTATTGACCTCTGACCCCCTCTCTCCACAGATTCAGTACGGGACTCCAGTGGGCGAGTGCTGGTCCATTGTCAAGCAGGCATCTCCCGCTCCGCCACCATCTGCCTGGCTTACTTGATGAAGAGGAAGCGGGTGCGCCTGGATGAAGCCTTTGAGTTTGTGCGCCGGCGTCGCAGCATCATCTCCCCCAACTTCAGCTTCATGGGTCAGCTCCTCCAGTTCGAGTCCCAGGTCCTGGCCTCGTCTACCTGCTCCTCGGAGGCGGGCAGTCCAGCCATCGGCAACAGCAGCACGGTCTTCAATTTCCCAGTCTCCATCCCCGTGCACACGTCGGCTGGTCAGCTCTCGTTCCTCCACAGTCCCATCACCACCTCTCCCAGCTGCTGAGGAAGACGTCGGGGGGGAAGCACAGACTTTGTTTGGACTTGAAATGCAACTCACAAGTGACTCTGCAAAGAGCACAAGACA